TATTATTATGTACATTGCTTGTATTTTATTTAATTTCTTGCTCTTATTTTACATTTATGTGCTTGCTTGTATTTTATTTCTCTTATACTTTCCCTATTTAATTATTATGTGCTTAGGGTAATTTTATTTAATTGTATGTGCCTTGTGGTTATTTCATAATTCTTCATAGTTAGATCCTTCGGAGAATTTTCGGTTCAATCGTGTAGATTAATTTTTTAGCCGTTCTCTATCTTTTCTCGACTTTTTAGAGTTGGACCTTTTTGGTTATTTTTTCGGACCGTTTTGAAGTCTAAAACCCGCCTTTATGCTTAGATAAAAATTCGAACCTTAGCCTTATGAGCACCAATTTAAATTTCAAATCCAAAGTGGTGGAGGCTTATTTTTTGTAGTGATTTTACAGCTATTTTATTCTCCTTTTGATCAGCCTTGATGCGTCATTAAGGGTCCTTGAATGGTAACGTCAAACACTCCGACCGGCTAGAAATCGGTTTGTCTCTACCTCATCGCCGGTAGAACGCCGCGTACCTGAAAATAACTCTCACACCAGAGGGGTTTTCTAGTGAAGAGTCTCTGATGCTTAAGTCAGTGCTTGTTCTACTCAATTCTCAAGAGTAAAAATGGTTAAATAGTGTTCAAGAAGTAAAGCTCACCCCCATATATAGGGGTAAGATACCTGCACTAGGAGCTGCCCGGATTTACTGAGTTGGCTACCCCAAGCTGCCTGGGTCTGCCCGTCCTTACACACGTAGTGTTCATGTGTCAGAAACGGTTATCATCATAGACCAATACCTTCACGCCACGTGTCCTATGCATATGAGGTAAAGATTCCTCTGAAATTTCGTTGCATGCTATTATGCTCAACCATGTCTAGGTCGATCCTCGGACTGCTCTTAATCTGTGAGGTGGTCGATCAAATGGCCCTTTGCTCTACAGGTCGATTTTCGACCAGGTCCTCCAGGGACCTGGGACCGCCATATTCTCCTCGTACTGAAATCCCCTATACATTGTCTTCATGGTGCTCGATCATAACCCTTATGCTCGATTCCGTTTTGCCGGAACGATCCATTTGGTTTGCTTGACTCATTTGACCGGCCTAGTGAACCGATTTACTCCTTTGGGTATAATATCCCATATCATCTAGTCCCCCCCCCCTCCCCCACTCTGGTCGAGTCTGAATGACTCGATCTAAGAGTAGGTTTTGGTTCATCCTCCGAACTGTTGTGTTTTCCTTCATGTGTCGAATATCTGTAAGTTTCTTTCTGCTTTCTCAACCATATATCTTTTCGACCGCCACTGCAACGCTCCACTCGTCACCTGTCAAATCTGTCAGATGAGTCAATCATTGTGTCTCTTCGCAATTTGCTCCTCCTCGCGTTTTGCTCCTATTTAATATATCGCAGCAGCCGGATTCACCTTTTAATCCAACGGTCACATTTTCTATCTCTTCACCTTTCTTCTGTAACCCTATAAATACTCATACTTAGAATTTTTTGTGCCTTTCCTCACATTGCAATTTCGAATTCACTTGTGCCCTAATTCTCTCTACAAATCGAGTTTCCTGCTCTCGACAACAAATCTTTCGGCGACTTCAAGCTTTCTGGCAATTCCTCCACTGCGACCATGAGTAAGTTTCCTGTGTCTTAAATTTGTGTTTTTTATTTCAATTTTCTATTTGCTTGTCCTTTCGAAATTTCGTTTAATCCTTTGGCGTAGAACTTTCTCCTCTTTCTTCCCCTTCTTCATCTTCCAAAACCCTAAAGTTTCCTTCTTTTTGATATTTTCTCCTTTTACTTTTGCCACTTCGAGCAAAAACGACCGTCTTTCCGGCCAACATATGCATTCTCTTTCTTTGTCCCCGACCTTCCAATTACCTCTTCATTCTCCTTCCAATTCTGTTGAGGAGGTTTATCAAGCCATTCCCCTCAACCTGCTTCGCTCTGTTAACGCCAACTGTACGCCGTTTGAGCCGTCTCCTCGCCGTCAGTACGACGAGGATGTCCTCGACCATGTACCCCTTAGCCGTCGCTCCCGACCTGTCTTTGACGCCTCCGATGCCGCCGAGGCATCCCTCGAGGAGGATGAGGACCATATCCCCCTTTCCCATCATTCTGTTCCACCTAAACCTGCGGCTTCAAGCAAAACCAAGACGACCAAAGCCAAATCCAAATCTTCGACCTTCCCCACTTCTTCCAAAACGCCCAAAAAACAAACATCGATCAACCCACTTCTTCCAAAAAAGCCTCATCATCTTCTCGCCCCGCGGGGTGGCTGGATCTCGACAAAGTCGGCCAACCCCCGTACTGGGCATTCATTAGCCCCGGCACTTATGACGATCCTCCCCACAATTTCTTCGAGATCCAAACTCACAAACTGAAACAAACTCACAAGCTGCAATTAGTCATTGGAACTCACAAATTGAAACCAACACTTCCGAAAGAAATGTTTAATAGGTAGATGCCAAATAGCCCTACACACCTTGCTCCTATTAGTAAAACCCTCACTAGACTCAGCTTGCCCACACCCCATAGCAGCCCTAGGTACAATAACACTGTAAGTGGATTTAAAAGTGAACACTCCATTTCTACCAAAATGCCAAAGAAGCCTATCTTTTCTACCTAAAACTGACAAAGGGATTTTGAGAATTTCCTCAGCAACATTAGGAGAAAATGTTGGAGAATGAGTTCTCTATCCAAAGAAGTACCACCCTGATTGATAAGCTCACTAACCCAAGTAAGATTCTCTCTATGAGAAGGGAATTGGCAAGTAGGTTTAAAAAGAAGACAAACTAGAAATCTGTGGGGATTCTTAGATTTTTATGCTCTTGCCATCTCCCACCTGAAACCTGGATCTTAAAACAAGAATATCCCTAACCCAAAGCCAACTTTCCAGAGCCAAGAATCCCCATTCTTTGATCTGGCATCAGCTAAATTCATCCTAGGGAAATACTTACCCTTAAGAACCTTACTAATGAGCAAGTTGGGGTGGATTATTAACCTCTAGAGTTGTTTAACCAAAAAAGCATCATTAAACCCACTGAGGTCCTTAAATCTAAGCCCACCACAATCTTTGGGCTTAGCAAGAGCCTCCCACTTAGTCAAGTAGATTTTTCTCCATTTGCTAATTAACATAGAGTTACTAATTAAAATTTTAATTTGAAAGAAGAAAAGTGAGAAATGCAAAAGAAATAAATATACAAGTATTCCATGATGTGTTCTTTAAACGGACAAAAAAACTCTTTAATATATAAACTTCACAAGTGTCTTCAAAAGATTTGCCAAACTCTTTCACAAAGCTTTCCGTTGAACCATCCAAGGTCATACACATTATGAATTCTTATCTTTTCATGAAATTTGGCAACTTTAAAATAGTGTGTGCCCTTACTACCCTTGCGAAGTTGACTACATAAAACTGCCCGAGAATCGCAGCATGAAAGCCCCAACAGAATCGAAGTTCACAATTCACTAAACTCGTGAGACACTCATTATGCCTTAGTTTTCTCATCAAATTTGGTAAAGGGTAAATAATAATTTGCAACCTGTACTATACGCGAAATTGGAGTTTGCAACCTAAAGATTTTTTTGTACTAAATTGCTACCTTTAATACACGATTTGTCTATATCGCAACCTCCGGCTATCGGCGACCTTTTTTTCACCGGAAAAGCGAGCATGCGATACACACGTACTAAATTTGAGAGCAAAAATGTCTTTTCATCTCTCTTCCTCCTTCTTCTTTCATCCTCTCTCTTTCTCTCACTCTCTCACACACAGTCAAATCAAAAGAGAATTCCACGGTGAGATAATTGGATCCCTCGATCGGCAGGCCCATGTAGTCATCGTAGAGTCACGTGAAATTCGCACCTTTTGATATGGTTAGATACGCGAGCCCGTCGACGGCGAAAGAAAATGCACGAAAAAGAGGCGGCGGAGCCAGCCGCGGGGTCGAGGAATTGGACCAGGCTGACGTAAATGATATCCCAACGGCAGAGGATGGCGGGAAGAACGGTGGCAGTGGTAGGAAGGTGGAGTTCTTCTCCTTCATCAGGGCGATGGAGCGGCGTTCAAAAAAGCGCCGCCGTAGAGAGTGATTCTGCTGGAAGGAAAAATGGGAGCTACGAGGAAGAAGATGAACAGAGCGAAGAGAAATTTCAAACACAATTCTTGAATTTTGATTGCTCTTCTTCAGATTCGAGGCAATTTCGACAAGTCCGTCCAGATTAAAATCGAATTTCACTGCAGGAGACTCTGTCGGCGAGAAATTAGGGTTTCTTCTCCCAAGCGTTGCGGCAGATGGTGATTACCTTGAAGTCGAATTTGACTGCGTGAGATTCGACTGACAACAAAGTAGGGCTCCTTTTTCCAGGTGCTGCGGTGGATGGCAGTTTCATGTGGTACCCTTGAACTTGAATGTGTGTGAGAGTGTGTGTATGAGAGAGGATGAAAGAGGAAGGAGAAAGAGAGATGAAATGACATTTTTGCCCTCAAATTTGGTACGTGTGTGTAGCATGCTCGCTTTTCCAGTGGAAAATGGGTCGCCGATGGCCGGAAGTTGCGATATAGACAAATCGTGTATTAAAAGTTGCAATTTAGTACAAAAAAATCTTTAGGTTGCAAACTCTAAGGGGGTGATTGGATATGAATTCAACTAGTAAAAAATTAGTTTTTTTTTTTTTTTTTTAACTATAGTTAAGTTTGAAAAAAGGTGGTATGGTTAGTTGTTAGTGGATATATTAAATAATATTTAAAATAGAATAACTAAAATTGATTTGATATAAAAGTAAGAGAAAATGATTGGAAGTAATGGTTAGTTAAAATTATATGAATGAATGAATAGTGAATTAAAGTTGATGTGATTTGTAAGAATGATTGATTGATCTTATTTAATTATATTGATAATATTGGAGACAGTGGAGTTGAATTAAAGTTCAGTTAAATTTTAGTTTTGATTGATTTTTTTACTGTACAATCTATCCATAACGCCCCCTAAATTTGCGTATAGTACAGGTTGCAAATTATTATTTACTCTTTGGTAATTTCTGGAAAATGTAACAATTAGACCACGATCAAATATATAGGCAACTAATACCTCAAGAATGAAAATTTCAGGAAGCTATACAATTACAGAACCAAATCCGGGGTGCATCAAAATCATCAAACAACACTAAAATGTCTCCATATTTCAAATTATCTAACAAATTAGAAATGCCGTCCCCCACTCCGTACAAACTTACTCGGTTAACTTAAAAGCAACTGCTTACAGAGTCAATAAGCAATGACGGACATTTCCGTTCAACCTTTCTTCATCCATAGAAGGTCGTGCGCTAGCCTACATGGAGAATCATATCAAGTGATGAATAAATTGCAGGAGCACTAATCTCTTTCTTAACCTCAGAATTCAGGAGGACTTCATATATATAAATGAAACAACGCGTCACTTACAACACAGATCCACGAGTCAACAAAGAGTGCCTGATTTCTCACTTTTTCGCCTATGCTGGTATTAGTGCCATAATTTGGTTCCTGATGATGCCCATGCACTTTTGTATCTCGTTGTAAACAGGAAGGTTTTGTGAACTGCGTGGTTGTAAGTTTGTGACAGCAGAATCTAATATTTGTGCCACATCAGACGGAGGAAACTGCCGTTCTGTACATTTCTGCATATCATACACAAATGTCGAATTTGACAAACATTTCATAATTTACATGTTTATGTTCTCTTTCTTACCATTGATCCAAAAAAAATAAAAATTTATAAATAAAAACTGTACCTTAAGAATTATAAATAAATACCCATGTACATGTAGATATTAATTGCAACCTTCAGATAGAGGTACCATGAGGTTGGTTGTCATATCCCATGAGGGAATATTTGTAATTTCAAAAGATATGTGGAGCCTTTTGCAAGTAGTGAAAAAAAAATCTTTTTGCTAAATGACTCACCTGAACCATAAGCAAAGTCGCAACACATTTAGAGATCAGCTCCGAAGGAATTTGTATGTCGAGGCCAGAGATATCCTCTTGTTTTGCATCATGTGGCTGAAAATAAATTTCATATTTTAAGATTCTGATAGGTCCGGGATAGATAATTAGACTACATAAATAATTGAGGTTGGAAGATCTTACCATTGGAATTCCAGAATCATCCGAGCATAGCTGGTCATTTACGTAGTCTATAGTTTCGTCAATTTTCTCAGCCGTGTTATCCTTACCATGGAGAGATGAAATTGCCTAAAACAAGGAAATACTTAAGAACTAAATTCCAGAGGAAATTTTTTAGTGCATCTTTGTTAAGCATGTCATAATATTTAAAGGTTAATCCCAAATACCACCCCCCACGATTAGTTTATAATTACAAAAATATTCCAGTTATCATGTAAAAATTACAGACACCTCATAGATATTCTGTACTTGTTTTACAAATTATTGAAGTTACGAAAAATAACAGGTCTACTTTTCTTTTTTTCCTTTTCTTTCTTTTTCTTTTAATGGAGCTAAAGTATCTAGGATGGTGCTTGCAAAATCACTAGCTTTGAAGAAGATTATATTATTGGCTCGGTGGAAAAGAATCTGGAACAGAAAAATATTCGGGAATCTCGTGAACCTGCACGGCTGCAGCTACCATTGCCCTGGCTTTTGTTGCTGAGCTATCTATGATCTCATTCGTGTGAGAAGTTGGTTCATGAGTTTGACATGAAGCACGGTCTAAAGAAAATCCATCACTGGGATCAGCAGAATAGCTGCCTGTCCTAGGCAATGCAAGTGGAATGCTCTCTTGATATGTGTTTCTCTGTCTCAAGCAATACAGAGCAGATGAAACCTGTACAACCACCCAAGTAGGTTGGGGGAAAGAAGTAAATAAATGAATAAGAAGTAAAAGTTGTACCACAGTAACTGAAATAAACAAACAAAAAAATGCGAAACAAATAATATTACCGACATGATATTTGTAACATCAGTTTACCTATTATGCTCACGAGGGATGTATTTGGTAAATAAATTTGAACTTGAAAAAGGGGGTGTTTTCAATACAATAAATGAGTGCTTGTAATACTGATAAATAACTGATTTTTATTTTTTTATTTCACTGTTAATTTTACGATTATGCAAAATCTCGGTGGTAGTTTTTGACTTTTTGCATTGTACCTAAAGAAGAAACAAACCTGCTCATTGGCTTCATTCAATTGTATAAGTACTGCCGCATACTGCTTTCTAAATGGCTCAGAGCCCTTCAAATAGCTATCTCCATCCTTTTGATTTTCAAAAACATCATCATTCAAACGCCTTAACTCCAGGACAACAGCTTCCTGCATTCATATCCAGTACACAAAAATCAAAATCTCCAATACAAATCACAAGCTCCAATCTTTACTTCTAATTTTCAAATAATATAAAAGGCATCAACTAAGTACAAATTGATCATAAAGAAGGAAAAGCTGATCTCAGAATTATAAAAAAAAAAAATATATATATATATATATATATATACATATATATAATTAGCATAAGCGTGTCAATTGAGTAGAGAACAACAGAAAAACTAGCAAGTGAAAGCTGATAACCTTTCTATCCAGAGCACGAGTCAACTCAGCCAGAGCTCGGACATCAGCTTCCTTTGCCTGGATTTGAAAGTATGTCGTTTCTGGGTAACCGGTAGTTTCCAACCCTGTCCTCGATTGTAAATCAGCATTTGCAGTAGCCACCTGGTGAATGAAATCAGGCTTGAGCTACTAAATTTTTAGTATAAATCTTCAGTAAATGCCCTCGAAGTTTAGTCTGCCAGCTGTTTTTAAAATACAAATATCTTCTTCATATTTGGTTCTATTTCGCAGATTACACCCTCGACAAAAATATATTTGTTAAAAGAAATGATATCCGTGAGGGGTGTTCGGTAATCTTAGAAAAATAATTATGTTTCCTTTTGTAACAAGTCAAACATCAAGGGTAACTCTTTTAGTAATACAATGCAATCAAGCAGCAGAAATTGTAATGACCGCTATACTCTTGGGTATCGAACAATGAAATCAGGCTACCAGATATGGAGTGCATTTAGAATAATATTAGAAAAATTCTACACAAATTAACGAGAATAAATTGGAAGATGCTACTGTCTGTTAGCAGCTTCGTGTCAGCCCCTTGGCGCCAAACCCCTCTGAGAAAGAAATGAATATTTAACTGGTAAAAAAAAATAAAAAAATAGCAAGAGAATTTAGGCAGATGTACATGCCTTTGTCTGCTTCAAGAAACTTTCAGGTCCTACTGCTGGAGGCAACTGCAAAATACCCACATTGTTACCCACATTATCACCAGGACCAAGTTTCATAAATTCGTCAACAGCAATTCTCTGTCTCCCAAGCAGTGCAGGCATATTCTCGTAAGGGTTCAATGGTGTGCAGTCAATATCCTGTCAAGGCAAAGCATTGCACACCAACTGAGAAACAAAAGGAATTGGACAAAATGATGCTAGGGGGTACAGAAGAAGAAAACATCTGGAGAGTTTGAAAACAGCAAATGCAAAGGACCAAAACATAGAGGGCTCATTCAAATCCAACATGGCATTTCACTATCTGGCAGATAATAGAAATCATCCAAGATCAAAGATGAAAAAAGGCATTTCATATGCAGTTGGCATAGTATGTATGCGCCCATGAGCTGACAATTTAACGTAAAGCTAGATCTTACGTATTGGCAAAATTAATAAATAACCCGACTTTTTACCATCAAAAAAGAGTACGTAATTGAAACTTATAGTCTTATTCCCACTGCGATATAGCAGTAGGGATCACATAGACACTCAGAAGAAGCAATATGAAGGAAAGCAGTATCAGACACAATCTTAAAAGGGTAAATGGCTAACACAGAAACAGTGCAGAAATTTGGAAGAAAGAAATTAATAAAATGAGATCTAGAAGATACCATGACAAATTCCACCCCTAGTTCAAGCTGGTCAAATTGAACCCGACATCTAGAATGATCGACCGTCAGCACGCTTCCATCATGAATTTCCCTTGTTTTTGGATGGATAGCAATGACACGCTGTCCAACTGATAAAGGTCGTGCAAGGTCAGTTGGCAGTCCTTCCCGAACACCTTCACGAAGCTCACTGTAGTGTTTTCTAACAGAATCTCGATACAGACTAAGCTTCTGCTTTTCCTCCCTCAGGAACTGCTCTGAAAATCGCCGAGGCTTGCCCAGAGAACTGAAAGGAATTTAAAAGTACCCATGCACAGTTAACATGATTCCTTACATCACGCATAAAAATAAAAATAAAATAAAAAAGACAAAGTACTAAAATTAAAGTAGATAAAAGTTGTTAAATTCAAGTATACCTTCTTATGACACCCCACTCGACACGAGTCAATCTTGACACGTGACCAAGTCCAACATGGTACAAATATTCAACAAACTCCCTCTTAGCAAACCACGGATAATCAATGGCACTGTAGAACCACTCATAAGTGCACCATCTCCTTAGATGGGGATTCTCCAAACAACTGGAAAGTTTTTCCTGTGTGACGGAATACGGACAGTAAATATAGTAATTTTGAATATACCTTTTAGGAGTTGAAAAAATTAGAAAATAGTAAACCTTTAAAGAAGATGCTACATCATGCATCGAAGAAAACGGCAGTTCATTTGAGATTTTATTGGGAAATTTCAAATCTTTCCGAATTTCTGGTTTTCTAAGGAACATCTTACGCCTGCTTCGAATTTTAATAGGCACCTGGTCCACCACTGGAACATGGGCTAAGTCACAAGCCTCTTTTTGTAGATCAGCTGCAGAATGATTTTCTGAAGTTTCCAGCAAGTTCGGTGAACCACTTTGTTTACATGTTTTATTCTTTCTCATTAACTTCTTTCCTGCATCTCCAACCTGGAGAAAGAAATTCCAAGATTTAGAGAGACCCCAACTCGAGAAGGAAACTCTTCGGCAGATGGATACAAGTGTTTTGCAGTTTACAGAAGAACACACCTCATAATGACTAATATCTCAAAAAATAAAACAAAATCACATCAACAAAATAGCAGATCATTGCAAGATCAGTAATCGAGAAAGTTAATCATATTCCAGGTCCCAAATTTTCAAATTTCGAAACATTCAACTTAATATTTGCCCCTATAGAAAGGGAAAAAATATAGAAGATTCATCATATCTGGAAAGACGTCATAATGGTAACAGATACAGATGTTTGTTATAGAGCATATGGGTAGAGTATAGTACCTCAATCACTGGAGATTCTATTAGATGAACGTCAGATTGAGATTCAGATTTTTTTATCTGCAAAAATTTGTCAGGTACACTAATCAGTAAAGATCTGATTCACAGCAATGATGAGCAACAGAAAGAGAAGTTCCATGCATACCTTAGGCATTTGCAACTTTTGTTTTCTTCTTGATGTTTTAGTGATAGCCTGAGGGATATCCTGATTTTCTTCAGGAACAGTAACAGATATGGTGTTCGAAACTGAAGTTTTTTCAGTTCTTGATATTTTACTGAAAGCAACTTCAGAACTCGATATTGCCTGATGCCCTTTCATTCTCACCCCTGAGTGTCTACGTTTTTCTTTTTGTTGACTCATGGGCTGAGCTTTTGATGACTCCAACTCACCATCTTCATCTTTAAACTGCATCTCTGAATCTGACGAATGGCAGGGCAATTGCAAAAGTTAGATCTAAGAAATTCAGTCATCATGTGTGTGATTGAAAAACAATGGTATTGATCAATGCTGATATTGCCCATAAGCTGCATTGTTCCATCATATAGAAACACCTTCAAAGAAATAAAATCTGAAGCTATTAAATTCCTAAGAAGTCACTAAATGTAACAGAAATATAAAAGCACAAGATTTTTTATGACTGGAAACCAATCAAGTTTCATCTCTTATAACAAATTCAACTTCTTGAAGAATGTAAATTTAAAAATTCTGTACTCAATATATGTTCCTTAGGCAATATCATCAAAATATCTTAAACATTTAGCTTAAGTTCATGCACTAAATCACAGCTTCAAACTAGGAAAAATGTAGGTTACTTACTCTCATCATTCTCTGTTGGCATCATCAACGACAAATCAGCCAAAGTTTGCAGGGCATCAAAGGCAGGAGCTTCATCTAGAAAGATAAAAAATATATTTAACATGAAAATAATCGCAAATAAAACAGCCACATAAAATACTATTTCCCAAGATCAAGTAACATTCAAGAGGAAAAGGAACATATATATAATAATATGTCTAGCCTTCCCAGACAATTCAGGCACCTGGAATGTGAAACAACACATATTCAGCAGTGGTTTGATCATGAACTTAATTCATACAGAAGACTCCTACCTGACTAATGAGTTCCTAGCATCTGAATATTAGATGCAAAAAAAAAGAGACAATAGATATTTAACAAAAAATAAATAAAATATTGCATGAACAGCAACTTATGGTGTAACATATTGATCAGGGAAAAATCCACGAACCCAGTTTCAAAATGACATGCAAGATAACAATCAAAGAAGCAAACAAGGATTTGAAAACGTGGTAGAGAAAGAACTGACAAGATTTGTCATACCTTTTCTAAACAAAACCTTTTTGCTCTTCTTTTTCTGACTGCTCATGGAAGAAATCTTGACATCATCCATATCCACATCCACATCATGCCTGCCCCTTTCTGCACCGGGCGTTTTATCTTCTTCTGTTCCATTATATTCTTCCCTGATGTCAACCAAATGATCATCACTATTATTGTCAACTTCAAACCTCTTCCATTCTGATTTGCTTGACTTCTTCTTCTTCAATGAGTCTATATACCTAGAGCACTCTCCAGTGTCGGGCTCTATTCTTCCTTCTAATTCTTCGTCCCTATCAGCAGACAACATTTTGGTACTGGCCATTTCTTCTAAAGAACGCTGTAGCCAAGAATAGGTTTATAAGATAAGTGACAAAGGTGTTGATTCTGGAAATCATGTCAACCAATACACAGTGATTGCTCATGGATAATTTTGTCGAGAAGATTTTGTCTTGTCTGTTCAGAAAATCTTTCAAGAACTATTCACTCAGCTCTTAAAATGCCAATCACATTCATGAATGTACTCACTTCAGACCCAATCACACTCATAATATTCATTCTTCTTTTTGTTTTTTGGTCCATAAAAAATATTCTGGAAACATGTCACCAATAAGCGGTGCTTACTTATAGATAATTTTCTTTAGAGGAATTTGTCTTTAACACATATCTGTTCAGAAAACTTTCAAGATCAATGCACTCAGTTTTTAATTGCCAGTCACATTCATGAGTTCACCCGACTCAGACGCAATCACTCTCACAATATTCATTCTTCTTTTTGTTTTTTGGTCCAAAACAAATTTGTAGTGACATTTCACTAATAGAAATATACATTTCAAACCAAAAGGCCAAGCAAACTGTCCTGTTACCTTTCTCTGGACACGCCTGGATGGTGATGGCATAACACTGTCAGGTCTTCTATCTGGTGTTCGAGAAACCTGAGAAGAACCACCTCTATTTGATGCCTCAGCCAAAGCCCTTGCTATTTCATGAGCTACTTCATCATCATTGGCATTAGCTTTGATTTTAAGACCTCGCCTTGTAGGAGAAACAAATTTCTCTCCATTAGCATTTTCATATGAATATGAAACTGGGAACCTTGGAGTCCTTTTCCCAACAGGACAAGGCCGACTTCCTGAATAAAATATGAAGATAAATTACCAGAAAAAATTTCTATTGTAATGCAGTTACTAATACTATACGAATAACAGTACAAAAATCTTCTAATCTCTTCTATAACCTAAAAAGATAAATTATCATTTGCAGAGAGGAAATAACAAACAAAAATGTAAAAGTAGAAAGAGAACAGTAAATTTGGAACATGTATGTTATTTCGTTGGCCAATAAAGGATTGGCAACAAAAACTTGAGGGATATCCGGGAATTTTCTTACGCATACAAATTGGCATTCAGGTAAAATTTATTAATAAGAGTTGGCAAATCACATTCTGAAATCTGCTATTAATAAACTATACCATTCTGAAGCTTTGCTTTATATGTGAGTCTTTCTTCACACCTAAATGTCCCATATATAAATCAGACAGTCCATGCAGCAAAGACACATAGGCCAGACAAATTGTACAGCTTATGAAGAAGGATATTGCTCATAACCACTCAACTATTGAAATTCAGTTGATAATGTTTAGAACATACCTCCTGGGTACTTCTCCTTTAACAATGACAGGATCCCATAATCTGAAGCAACGGTCTGTGAACGCGAAACAAATGGATAATCAGGTGCTAGGGAGGTCGTAGGCTGGGCCTTTCCACGAACACATTTCTGGGATTTTCGAGATGTCCCTACTCCATCCTTACTTTCTTGATCACAGTCACTTCCTGCCTGTCACGCCAAGATCCATTTGCCTTACTATGCAAACACATCACATGTAGCATAGAATTTTCCATAAACAAAATAACAAGATTTATGAGCTGCAAATGCTCCTGAGTGTCAATTGAGTAGTTACTATTTAATGACAGATACTTTTGGTAATGGAACCGTCTTTTCACACTGCTTTTGTTACATAGTAGTAAGGAGAAATTATGCATATATAGTAGCAGAATTCACGTGCTCAGGATGCGGGGCACAAAAATAGAAGCAGGACAACTTCTAGCTGTTTTTTACCATTATTTTTACAAGAAAGATATCTTTCAATGAACTAGTAAGAAGTTTATGACATGAAATTTGAACGATGAACTTTCTTCCTATATCTGAATCTTGAATTAAAACACTAACCAAATTGCTATAATGATCAGTCATCATAGCAATAAATGCAGTTGCAGAAGCAGTTCCATGAGGAAGAGACAAGTAAGCCTGCAATTTAAACCCAGAAATCATCATCAGAAATAAGTTGGTAAACATTATAGACGAAGCATGGTTGTAGCAGCCACAGTTAGGTGTTCTTTGTTGTAAAATTTGCAAATTCCAGAGTTTAGATTTGGGTCATTTTGGCCTAACACAGCTCTCATATAGCCTATGGGTGTGAAACAACAGAATAACTCAAAATTAAATAATGCGGACCATGTGGATTAACCTGAGTTATAGTTATATTATACGTATACAACTTGCAAATATTCACTAGTTAGAAAATGATATACCCCTTCATCATATCGTGTTTGATAATTTATTAGATATTGACTATCAACGGCAACCTTATCATCTATATAATCAGAACCAAGAATGTGGCATTCATGTATTGATATGTCTGCTGTGTCATCTAAAGGACCTAAAATGACCCCCTAATATGCATAAAAGAGAGTACTTGCATATTCATTTCATGGTGCTGCATGTGATTGTTGTCAAAACTCTTAGGTAATATTTACCATTACTGCAACTATAGATATGCAATAAATAAGATTATCTGATGTCAGCATCTTAAATTTAGTTTTTTATTGCATGGGAAATTTTAAAATTCAGTTTAATCTAACTCTTTACATCCCAAGATAACTGTCATTTTAGAAAATTTCAGTGTAATAGAACATATCAAAGACTGATATCACATCACCTAAGTCCAATTATTATGCTACATTTCTAAAGAGTTGTATCTTATCACTATTTTATTACTAACAACAATTTTTTCCATTTCCAACTAGCATAATATAGGTAATTCTGCCTTGATTATTTTTAGGGACAAATATACTGTGATAAAAGAACTTTATTTTGGGACAATGGGAGTACTAGGGTAAATGTATAGATGGACCATGTGAAATGATAATACAATGGGTTTTCCAGTTAACCATAGCCTATCAATAAAGGCTATGCCTGAGATTCCAACACAGGATAAGTAATCCACTCATTATGATTAAATGCTTAAATCAAAGAGCAAGCTTACCCTATTCATTGTGTAAATGGCTTCCACCGTTTCTGAAGACCGACTTCTTACAGCACCGGCCACCTAGAATAACCAAAATTACAAACTGATGAATCCATAAAGTATGACAATCCCTGCTTGAGTCAGGGCAAGTCGCTATTAAAGAAACAAAGAGAAAATTGACACAATCCATGCACTTCATCTAGTAATTTATAGAGTTGAACTGACCTTGTCCCAATCTTTACCATACTTGCGGTATGCATCATAAAAACGAGTCAGCTCCTCCGTTGTCCATCGAGGCCCAAGCATGTCAGACAACTTTCTTTTCTGATAAATCAGAAAACAAGGTGAATTATTGATGTAAAGATGCACAGCCAGCACTTGGTAGAGCTACAACCATTATTAGAATTTATTTTCTTCTTTATTCTAAAAGAAAGAAAAAGGTGAAGAGGACAAAGGAAGAATTATTTAATTAAGGAACCAAAAATGGATAACATGGCTGTGATAATTTTTAGAAGGACACCACAATGTACCTGAATCCTAGCATATGAAGTCAAGCTGCTAGTCCACTTTAAAAATAATAATAAAGTTTCTCATTAGACTATGAATAACGAATGAAACAAAAATATCACTCAATGAAATGTTCCAATATTTCCCGTAAGGTGGCATAAACTTAAAAAATGTTTGACATGTCTTTCATTACTCCACACATGAACATTTAACCCATATTTTTTAGAGATAAGCTCATTAAGCTTCAGTCAATAAACAGGATATCTGCCACAACCCTCAAGTGAGAGGAAGGAGTAATTAAAACTAAACCTCTGTAACTTAGAAGGTAGTAATCATGAAAGTTCATATCATAGTAAAATGATGCTAGGCATTTCAAACAAAATTGGGATAATTTTTTGAAAATAAGGGGAAGCTCATAGAAGTTTATGTGTAGTCTCTGGGAAACTCTACATGAGATGATTGGGGTTTCAAGGAAGTGAGAGGAAGGAGTATGTTGTTGTTGTTGTTGTTGTCTGTAACTTAGAAGGTAGTAATCACGAAAATTCATATCATAGTAAAATGATGGTAGGCATTTCAAATGAATTTATATTAATGTTTTGAAAATAGGAGAAGCTTATAGAAGTTTTTATGTAAACTCTGGAAAACTCTACATGAGATGATTGTGGTTTCGGGGGAACCCATCAAGAAGAAGTTATCACTCAAAGATATATTTTGCACAACAATAAGTAGGATTAGGCAAGTTGAAGAACAACAGTAAAAAAGAATAATTAAAGGACAAAAATTCTCACCTTGGTATCGCTTCTTTTAGAACTATCACCATCTTTAGTAGGAGATACTTCGTCGATATACCGCCTATTGACGCTTCTCAACTTTCTTGGCGGACCCATAATCAACTAAATGTAAAAACAAGATATCGAAAGTTCACATAAACAAAAATTATGAAGGTCAAATGTTAAAAATGGTAAATCGTACAATTCTTTATCACCTCATTACGCAAATTATAATACTGAACTATTAATTCTCAATTTTCCTCCAGAAGCTCATTTGAACTCATCTCGTAAAAGGAGGCCAAGTAAGTTTACATTCAGAAGTGTGCTATCGCTTCTACTGATTACTGAAGGCTGAACGGAAAGCAATTCCGGGGAGGAGACAAATTTTCAAGATTCCCACTTCCACTTGTGAAATTAGATTGACGCTTAGTTTTATCAAAATACATGTGCATCCCCAAACAAGAACTATATATGCAGTAGAATTTAAAAATGAAAAAGCCTTATGAATAAATTAATCTCATAATTCACGATTTTATCATTGATAAAAGATCCACAGCACTAACCAGATAATATTACCAATCTTTCAAGAATAGCTCAAAACAGAAAATTCACCACGCAATCAAAACTTATATTTCGAAGTCAAAGAACTCCCATTTTACATCATTCATAATCCACGCCACCAAAAGTATACACTAACGGAGCGGCGCCTCCCCAAACACACACACACACAGAGATAGTCTCATAGTTGATTAGCACAACGAAGGTACAAAAAACTCATCGATTTCAAACTTAAAATACTTCTAATACACAAATCAACAACTTAACAATTTTGTAGCTGAATTACAATCGCACAATTGTGATTTACAATTTACTGGCCTAATTTAATTAGACTCATAACGAAAACGTAAATTCAAACGAAAAGCAAACAAAACGCCAAAAAAATATTAGGCTTCGTTTTTGTTTCATAGTGAAGATAAAATGAAAAAGAAGAAAAGGAGTAGCGTATGACGCCATTGATCAAGGATACCAAATTGAAAGAGAAAAGAACCACCAGATGAAACAAGGAGAGGAAAAAAGAAAGAAATCGAAAAGAAAAAAGAAGCAAAAGATAAATTGCAGCTATCTAAAGCTAAAATTCAAATCGTTAAAAAAGAAATTTAGGAATCCAAAGGAGCTTTTTTTAAGAAAAATAAGGTATCTTTTTTCTTTACCTTCCCAACAAATTCAGTTCACCGGCATTGCAAACAGCTCCAGATTTGAAATTCGTAATTCGTAGAGTACCCAACGGCGGATGCGAGATTATATGGTTGAGAAAGTGCCAGACCGTTTAGAGAGAGATAGATGTGAGTGTTAGAGAGAGAGAGAGAGAGAGAGGTGGAGGAAGAATGAATTTGGGGGTAATAACCGCGAAACTCTGCTCTCTGTATTTGTATATGCGTTTCAGATTTTTGATTTTTCAAAGGGTTGCTTAAATTGCGCCATCCGGTCCTTGTAATTGTATGATATTTTCATTTCAGTCCCCAGGCTTGTTGCCTTCGCCCCTTAACCCCGTGGTGTTAATTTCTAAAGTTAAGATATAGTATAAATTTTTTTTTTTAAATTACACAGGGAATCAATGAGGTACCTACATCGGCACAACAAAAAACTTAAGGCTCCGTTTGTTTTGGGATTTGAAATTCCTTGATTTCAAAATTTTTGAAATATAATTTTTTTTCCTTGCACACTCTTTGAATGGATGTGTTGAAAATATTATAAATAAATTGTCTAGCTCGCACCGATGGTGTTGACTCACGATGGTGATGAACATAAATGATCGCGGACGGCGTGGCCATCAACAGTGATAAACAGTGGATTTCAAATTATTAGGTTTGAGGATGACTTTCATATCCTTCAAAATAATGACTAAAAAACATGTAACATGAATTTGAAATCCTCCAACTTCCATTATCATCCCAACATGCATGAGCATTTGAACTTGTAAATTTGAAATCTATGAATTTCAAATCCCTCAGTAAATCCGTTAAAACAAATGGAGCCTAAAGGAAATAATACAGCTCCATAAGAGCAACTCCAACCAGTGCGCATACGTAATTACAACGAGAAAATTTTAGAACAAATGCTCCAACCGATGCGGATACGCTAACGCAAAATCCGTTCATGTCCCTTTCTCTCTCCTTCCAAACGCATATTTGCATTTGGACTGTTCATGAATGCAAATAATAATCAGAATCACAAATTGGCCCTTCATCTTCCAAATATTGAATACATAGTTCATTTATATTATCCAATTAAAATGGAATTGATATTAATAAATATGGTTTAGCTAGAAAATTAAAATAATTAAAAAATTGTAAAACTTCAAACTCAAATGAGCACCGCTTCCTCCAAAATTGTTGAAAAATTTATTTACATGATAATTTATATCTTATGTACGTCTTAATGTTTTTTTTCGAGTAGAGTAAATTTAGTATTTAATTAATATTTATTTTTTCGATTTGTCATGTGTACAAATTTTTATATTATAATAATTATTATTGTATATTTTTTTTAATCGAATTTAAAATAGCATTATGATCTAATTTGTAAAGATGTAAAATATGTGGGTAATATTGAAAAGTTGTAAAAGTTGATGAGAATGAGAATATTCCGGGAATATTCTTTTGGGTTTGAGTATGAGTTTTTCGATTGGAGAAGAATTACTGTTTGATGTGACAGTTACTGCAAAATGAGTTTGAGAATGGATTTTTCAGTTGGAGATGGTCTAATGGAGACTAAGAAGCTAGACTAAAACTACACAACAACAAAGCACAAAGACAACGACACACGCCTACTAAACAAGTAAAATAAAACCTCCCTTAAACCTTGCGAGCACACCACAACTCCACCCGAACAGGCACACGAGACACACCCCACAACACGAAATCCGAAGAGAGTTGCAAATCGGAACCACAGAGTCAAAAATTGCAGTCACTCGAGCTGCCTAGACATATCTGGTGAGGAGGCAATTCTCAGTCAATATCAGGGCTCCAATGTCTTCAACGCCAGAGAAAGCGAACCCAATTTGCAACGCCAGCGAGCCAACGCTTACGCTTCTATGACCGAGTAAGAGAAGGGCAAAAGGATGTCCAAAGCGGCGTACCGTCGAGCGGGATTCTCCGACAAGGACAAGGAAAGAGAGATGACTTCACAAGGAGCCCAGAGACACCACCCAATCGGCCGAAACCTCAGACTGAAGGCTACGACGGACGGGTGAACAACCCCAACCATAGCAGAAGGGAGAGGCGGTGCGGCATCTACCGCCTCCAACTCATTTGCCCGCAAGGCTTCGAAAGGGGCAACAGAGAGGGCCTTCAGCCCCACTCCAGACATGGCTAGACCGGCGGGCACTGCGCTAGGCTGGCTGGAAAGGGGGGGAACGAAACTAAGGTGAGAGTTTATTGGGATTTAGCGATTTGGGAAAAGAGATGCGAAGAGAGATAAAGTATTATTGTTAAGTTAAGATATACAGTAAAACCTCTATATATTAGTAATGTTGGGACCGAAGGATTTTATTAATTTATAGAGATATTATTATATCGATAAATTAATAATTTATTAATTTAAAGAGGTTTTGACGTATATGCACAGTTGACCTTCAAAGTTCCAAATTCTTTGAATAACTTTAAGTATACATGCATAGTTATTGATGAAAATCAAGTTAAATTACAAATGTACTAGTAGAATTTCATGAACACAAACTCACGTGGAAGTTGGAACGGTTTGTTTAAATTAATTGGCTTTGGAAAATACAAAAATATGGTTCATTGGACTAACATTTGTGCATTGAATCATGGATAGAAGTCAGCACTATATATTTATTCATTGGAATCTTAGTAAATCACACACAAAAATGGCCACTCATCTAAGTTGTCATAAGAATCTTCAAGTGCATCATATATTTATATGGATTATTTTTAATAATTATTAATTTATAGTTTCGTCAGGACCAATATATATACTGGGATCTCAAAAAAATTATTATCTTATAATTTTATTGATTGGGTCCCAAATTTTTACTGGTCCCAACTTAGAACCGGACAAATTATTAGTTTATCGATTATTAATTTAACGAGGTTTTACATAATCAATTTTTTTATTTTTATTTTTTTTTTGGTGCTTTCATCTCTAATCATATATGATGTGTTTTCTAAATTTTCAAGGGATTACTTGTAATATTGTCAAAGAAATTTATTGGGGAACATAGTGACAAGCATATTATTTTCAACTTTTTGTAATTATATATATATAGGGTCGCGCTCACATGAGAATGATGCTCAGAGATTAAATAAGAATAAATCGTAGCCATTAGATGGAATAATCTAATGGCTAAAAAAAATCAAAATTATACCTTCATTAAAGGTAATTTAGTAATTTTTTACATATCACCCAAAAAGGTGGGCCCACCATACATTAATGCACATGCCCACTTGCCACCTGCCACCTACCAACTACACCATAAAATCGGTCAACCCACCCCACCCAACCCCACCCCAGACCACACTCTCTCACACACACAATATTCATCAGAAATCAGACACACAAACACACAATATTCGCACATACACACAAACACACAATATTCACACACACACACATGCACAACTAACACCACTCCCGACCACTGCCGACCTCACCATCGAAATTGCGCCTGACCGACGTCCGCAACCACACGTCCGCCGTATGCCGCACTGCCGCCGGAAGTGGTGAGCTCTGGTACGACGCCGTTTCATCTCGCAGTCGCTTCCAGATTCTCCGGCAGCCTCCAGTCCAGCAATTCTTGTCCGCTATATTTCCATCGCGGAAGCCGGCAGCTATGTCGGCTGCTCGCCGACAGTCGTGGTTACACACAGCACTCGCCTCCGCCGTCGAGCTCGACGACGGCCGCCTCTGGCCGAAATCGGAAAACAAGGTCGACAACATCTACGGTCCGCCGTTTGCTCCATCCTGTCGATGCAAGTCCGACATGAATTTTTGAATATGGGTGGCGAGTTCGACCGGATTCCGTTGAAAATCGAGCGTGATGACTGCCAGATTTTAGGTTTTCCGTTGCCGAAAGGATACGTCATCGGCAAGCAGAG